CAAAATATTTTCTCGTCTGTAACTAACCGTTCCTAAACATTTCTGATATTTTCTCGACTTGTAATGACCCTCTGACGTCACTAAAACCACACCCCTGTTGGTTCTTTCAACCAATCAGGACTTCCTAAAAGTGACCGGAAGCAGAACTCTTTAAAAGTCGACACTTCCTAGTTCCAGTTAGTTGAGTTCTGGAGTAGTTGGTTGGTTGGGTCCGTGACTTCTTCTGGTTCTGATGGAGTTCGGCTGGAGTTCCTAGGAGTTCTTCCGAGTCTAGTTGGGATTATGGAGCCTTCCACATCTGAGTGGAACCTCTGACGGACTCACAGCTCGCTGTGAGTTCACCAGGGAGATGAGCGTGTTGTTGAACGGAGTACCGTCACTACTTCAGACGATTCTTAGCCATCCTAAGGAGATGCTGAAAGGTAGCGTTGAAATGGAACTCCGTACCAGGAGCTGACCTATCTTCTGCAAAGGTAACAAGTCGCTTCACTACCTAGTTTACCGGGGCTGAGCTGGGGTCAGATGAAGGGTGCCATTCCTCGTCAACACACTTTCCTCATCCATCATTTTCTCTCCATTTAAACTCCTTCATTTCCCATCTTCCAACTTCTATCTTGCCAGTAATTAATCCAGATATCTTCAGAAATGTCGGTTGTTTTTATTAAGTAAAACGTGCCAAGTTTTATTAATCAGAGCCTATCAGTATAAAGTGTACAATGTTTTGATGTTAATTTTTGATTCTGTTAATAAATTACCACATTTATTTTGATAGGTCAAAGAAAATTAACGTCTCATGTCACTGATTAAACCATCTACAACACAGTACCTCTGTCACATACTGTATCTGTCAAGTAGCTCGAAAAAGTGAGAACCCGTCATTAAAAAATTGACTGTAGTGGAGCTCTGAAGCTAACTGAAGCTAACCTAGGCTTAGCATACTACAATCTGGTGGCCCGACGTGGTCTCTAAAGAGCTTCTCGTGACCCGCTATCCTCCCCTTTAGACATTTTGTGGTCGTACGAATGTTTAAAGAGGTGTCAATTATATGTGACGGAGTCTGTGTCATTGAGATGGATGCTGAGTGTTGGCATGAAAAGGTCCGAGTTTTGAGCTTGATACAGCATGATTCTGCTTGTGGTGTTCAGAGAGCTGAAAGTAACGTCAGTGTGTTCATTTTAAAGCTGAAATTTGTACATCTGTTGTGTAACTGAGGCTCGCATGCTGTAGTAAAACGCTTTATTCTGTTTAAATGTTAGCAGAGAAAGGGGGTTCTGTCTGACCCGGTTCTGCTGTCTGACTCAGTTCTGATTCGTTGAACGAGTCATGTTTTGAATGAATAAAACGCTGTTTTGAAGCTGAGCGCCATCTCAGACCACTGTTTAAATGCTGATCTGCTAAGTTTTCAACAGTAAATTGTGCATTTTGGAGGTTTAATGGGCGATTGTTGACCGGACTTTTTCAGGCTAACTGCTAACTGCTAGCTGGAATCACGAGCTGTGATTGGTTGAAAACCGCTGTTTGGGTCACTCTGATTCGCTAAGAAACGGGTGACGTGTCTGCGTTCACTCCCTCTGATGTCAGATTGTAAAACCCACCTCATTGCGCACTTGTCTATAAAGTCACGTGACCCCAGAAATGAATCTCGATTCAACCGAAGCCTCCTCTGTGTTTAAAATCACTAAATGAAGCCTGCCACTGTTCCCTAAACTCATGTTTCATGCAAAAAGTCGTGCTTGTCAAAAGACGCCTCGTTTAAGCTTTAAATCCGTTCAGAAAATGCTGATTTGACCGTGTTCGATCGTATGCTACATCTAGCTAACGGCTAAACAACCAGATATCAACAGAACAATCCACAGGAAGTTGTCATAGACTGTTGCTGGTATAAATAAGCTTACACCACCACCTGCTGTTGAAAGAGGAGTTTAACGGTTTTCCTGAAGGGGGACTGATAATTTCCTCTCATTTTTTTTTCTTTTTGTTCATCCAGCCTGGTTTATGAGTGACTGTTTTAAATAGCGAATTTCTGGTATATAGAACTGCTTAAAAAGCATTTGAAAACTAAAGTTGCTGTGAGACTTTAGAAAAATTGCAGGTTTATTTAATTTTGAGTGCTTTAGAGTAAATGAACTCACTTCACTGTTCACTTGAATCCAAATATTTACCTGTTAAAATCTCTGAAGTTGGTGACTGTTTAACCAGATAAGTGCTGAACAGTGCATAACCATGGCAGATGTGACAGAAAAGAATATTGATCCTTGTGTGATGGATTGGTTAGAGAGAGCGTTGGCGCTACTCACAGAATCCTTAAATCCATATGGTGAACAGGTGGACAGCATGAACTCAAAAGAGTTATTGGACGAGCTGAAGGATGTTGTAGAGAGTGTGACCTCTACAGCCAGAACAAAGTCAAGCTATGACCAGTTGGCTAAATTGGCGCTCTTATTGAAAGCAACATTCTATGCTGTGGTAAACAAGGCTGACGACCTTGAAATAAGGTTGAACAGCGAAAAAGAGGAGTACCTCAAACTCATGGCACAGTCTAAATTTGATCAGGAGACCCGTGCGAATGAGTTACAACGTGACAGAGAGCTCTCACAAGCTCAGCTGTCATTACAAGCTCACTCATATGAGGAGAAGATGAGGGAGGGACATATTAAGTGCCAAGCACTGTGTTTAGATAAGGAGGTGTTACAACAACAGTTGCAGCTCACATCAAAAGCTCTGAACGAGTGCAGATTGGAAAAAAGCGGCGTTGGTCGAACAAGGCGTGCGTTTGCAGAGTGAATGTCATACATCACAGGAACGCTTAAAAGCCTGTGAGGCGAAACTAGCCATAGCAACAAATGAGATTTTTGACGTGGGGCGGGGTTGTCTGGAACTCAAAGACGAACAAGGTCAGAGTCCAGGTCACCCACCACCACCTCAGAAGGATTTTGCTGCACCTCCTGCTCTTAATCCACTTCCGTCACCTCTACATGAGTCTAGCGACACACCTCTATGTGCCATTTTGATTCTTACGATACCGATAAAACAGCCTTTGCTCCCAATTTCAGATTTGCACAAAATTGCAAAGTATGTCAACCGATTTGAGCCAGGGCCGTTGGGTTCAACTGACACTAAGGCCTATCTGGACAACCTTGACTTCCAATTAAGAAGATATCCCAACGCTACAGTTGAGGTTTGATCAGGCTCACTTCATCCAGGACGGTGTTTTCCTTCATAGAGTGTCAACCTGATGAAACAAGAAAGGATTACCGCCTGTTATGTGCTACTCTTATGAAAGAGTATTCACCTTGCACGGGACCTGGCGGGTATCCAGCCGCCGACAAGGTGGTGCAAGGTAAGAATGAGGACCCCAGGGCATATTATTCCAGGATTTTGCAGGCTTATTTTGGTTACAGGAACGAGGCCAACATGGAGGAAGAAGAACTGTTTAAGTACGTGTTCAGCAAAAATCTCCACCCTGACATAAGGATGTCAGTGCAAATGATGGCTAATTTCAAAGAGAAATCCATCAGTGAGATAAAAAGTTGTGCTGTGAATGTCTTTGAAGCACATTCACAGGCCAAAACACCCTTTGAGGTGTACCCAGGTGAGAGGATTCCTGCCCAGTCATTGGAATTGGAAGGGACGAGAGCTTCGACTCCCCCTCCCAAAAAAGGCGAGAGGAAACGAGGTTTCCCAGCAGCCAAACAGGTGAGTGCCCCCTGGTCCAGACGAGATCCTAAACGGTTTCTCAAGGAACCAGAGGATGAACGATCATACCAGAAGGGGGGTGAACGACCTAAGGGTAAAAAGTATGGCACCAAAAGTGACCCATACAACCAGGGATCCCACTGGGAACCCCAAAGGGGGGGTACTTTTTCCCCACCACGTCGAGCTGAAAAGCCTGAGACGAAAAAGAAACAGCAGCAGGTCCAGAAAAAGAACCACAATCCTCTGAGCTCAGACGAGACACACAGTGTAGTCTAGTTGGTTGTTAGACTTGTTGGATGGTGTTGCCACGGACAAACAACCTAACGCTTTGTTTGGTGATATCATTGCTGATAAGTCAGAGCACACAGACAACACCGTTACTGCTGTCACAGACAGTCACCATGACGCTGTTGTTGTAAACTCTGACACACCCTCACCTGAGATGGGGGGGGGGGTACAATCACACGTCACCGACGGTAACCCGTCACAAACTGAAACCTCAGCAGCAGCAATAGCTGTGTTAACGGTTCAGGGTGACACAAACAACAATGTTGCCGCTGTCATGGACAGCCACCAGAACCTTGTTGTTACAAACAATGAGAGCCCCTCAACACACAGTGAGCGGGTGATCTCATACATCAATGACGGACGCCCGTCAAAAGCCGAACTCTCAGGAGCAGCAGCAGCTGCACCAACGGTTCGGAAAAACCAGGATTACACAGGTAAAGGTGAACGTAAGAAGAAACGTCGGCCAAAACCTACAAGGTTCCTGTATAGCCTGATCAGAAAGGGGGTTGCTAATAAAGCTTACCTGTCAATCAAGTCAAGTCAAGTCAAGTCATATTTATTTATAGAGCACAATTTAAAACAGATAGACTGTTATCAAAGTGCTTAACACTAAGGGTAACACTGAGAAATAAAAAGCAGTAAGAATATACCTTAAAAAATTAAAACAACAGCATTAAAATGAAGACATGGAACAAGATATACTAAATCAACTCACACAGTATGAAACACCAGAGAGAACAGATATGTTTTTAGCAGGGATTTGAACACAGGAAGGGAGGTGGCATGC